GCTACATCCCTGGGAGATGCTACCATGCGCTGCCTACCGAGGGAGCACAGACATAACTGTCATCCTCAAATTCCAAGAGAAAATTGGGAAGGGAGAGGGAGACCCCTCAACATCATCAAATCTGCTTCCATTAATAACTACAGCTGTGCTCATTTAAGCAATAATTCATAAAATTGATTATGTTTACTTTCCATCGTCTATCATTCTTAACCTTAGTGAAAGTTAAGATTTGAAAGGAAAAATCCGAGCACATGCAATTATACCATTACTGGCTTAACTGTCACATTCACTTCTATAATTATTTCTATTACTTCTTATTTAATTTCTTTTCATGGTCCCTTTTCACATCTGTCCCAGATTCCTTTTATTGCCATTTAGAACTCATGCAGTAACTGCCTTTTAAGTGCCACTATGTTATATATTCAAAATATTACAGATGCCCTTTCTACCTACCCAGCCCAAAGGCCTATTAGGTTAGAAACCGAAGCCAGTTCCCTTCTCTCCTGAAAACTCTAAGTAGCTGTGGTTCCTCTGCCCCATCCCTTTACATCTACTGTACTTCTAAGCGTCTCTCTCTTGGAGTGCTAACCAGCATCAGGCCAAAGCCTCACTGGCAGTGAGATACTGCAATAAGGAGGGTAGCATACACACAACTAAAGCTCAGGTCCTGCACAGACTGGAGCTGAAAATGTACACCCAAACCGCACACATTTATATTGCTCTGGGAATTCACTACAGTCGATGGTTTAATGTTTTTGCTAACAGCCTACAAATGAAAGGCCAATAGGCGTTGGAAAAATGGGTGTGAAGCTGAGCCTGCCAGACTTTCCTCAGAAGTAAGGAACGCAAAGCAGAGCAACCGAGGAAGGAAAGACTGAGAGTTCTGTTTTCTCTTGTTCTGTTTTGCTTCCTATTCACATCATGGAAAAGTGAGTGATAGAGACTTACAGTGTCAGCTCCACGGCATAGCGTCGTTTCCTCTGAGGAGGCCCAGATGAAGGCGCTTTCAAGGAAGCCCGCGCTTAGAGAGCACAGGTAGATCTAAAGGCGCACGAGGCCTTCCAAACAGTTCTAAGTCATAAACTTGACCCCATAGCTACCCACTTTGCCTATTTCTAAATGTTGGCGTGGACTTAAATTACTTTTCTACTCTGCTAAGGAACTCAGGCCATCATAAATTTGAAATCTTTTTACCTAGAAGTTATTTTTAGAAAATCCCTTAGATTTTTTTTCTTCATAAATTAAATTGCTCTTTATCTAATGATTTTACATTTCCTTGAGATGATTTGGAAAAGTAGTATTGGAACTTTTCTATCACTTGCAATGTTTTCCTTTAAAAAGCATCTTAATGAGAGAAATAGATGATGTCTATTTATAAGAACAAGACATGTTAACTGGAAAAGTACCATAGAGAAAATATGTAAATATTCTAATTTGTCTAAGTAAGCACATTGCCAGATACTATACATCATTTTAAATTATATTAACAAGAGATGTTGTGTTCTATAATATGTAGCATTTGCTAAAGTCATATGCTTAAAAGATTCTTCCTTGTATACAGAACACAAAATTGCACATCTCATTTGTAACTGAATGTTTCAAGGTTGTCCATGAGGGTGGGCGAGGGGGCTAAAGATCAATCAAATAAATATTTATCACAATTAGCTGTGTGTTACAATGCAGGTGGATTAACTTTCTCTTGTGCCCATGTCTGGCTTTATTTGTGAGGATGATAACTATTCCCTTTATTTTTTCATCCCAAACTCTTTCTCTTTGTTTTTTTTTTCACTCTGCTCTACTTTTGGGTTGCAACGTTTCTGTCCATATTCCAGAATTAGATCAACTATTCCTCATGAAATTTATTACCTTCTAGATCTCAATTATCTATCAAACATGGGAACTAAACCCACAGAGAATGCCTACAGAATTGGTAGTTAGCTTGCACTGAGGTTCGTAGTAATACATACAGTAGATTTCAAACACTGAACAAAAAAACATTAATCTTACCAGGGATATAGCTCAGTGGCATAAACGCTTAACTGGCGAGCCTGAGGTCATGAGTTCAATTCCCGATACCAAAAAATAATAATAATAATAATCTCTCTAAATGTTTACATTTATTATAAGCCAAAATGACAATATTCTATACACATTAGTATAAAGTATATTATTAAAAGTAATTAACTTCTTTCTAATTTTGTGAAGGTGACCATTAGAAAATTTTAAATTATGTATGTAGCTCACATTATATTTCTATTAGATAATACCAGCAATATGTATTTCTACCCTAAGAGATTCCCCAACACCTAACACACCATCAGTGTCATTATTCTCCATGCCTTATTTCATTGAACTTAAAACAGCTAAGCTATCAAGTGATGCCCTAGCTTTGCAGGTCTGTTTTTAAATTCATAGCTTCAAGGTTTTCACAAGGTTTCTGACTCTCTCTTGCCTCCAGGTAGTAAGCATATGAGTTGAAGAAATCTAACCACCTCTGTAGAACATAAATTTGTGAAGAAAGCCTGCTCCATCCTTTACTGGGCAAGAGGACACATGTCTCTCTTTAGAGTCTCACTGTAAAATATGCTACTTTAATAGGAAGCACAATTTCCTTCCAAGGAGCTGCTGTAGCTTGGACCTGAAATGGCCAATGCATTAAGGGCTTCATTGTCAGCCTATAACACTATTGGGATACGGTGAAATCTTTGGGAAGAAAGGTCTAGCAGGAGGAAGTTAGGTTATTGGGAATGTGCCCTCAAAGGGGGTGCTGGGATCATGGACCTTTTCTATTGCTTTTGTTTCCCAGTTGCCATGAGCTAAACAGATCTCCTGCACCACGCACTCTCCTCCCCATGACATCCTTTGCTGGTGCGCATCCAGAGCAACAGGGCCAAGGGACCATGAACTGAAACCAGGAGCCAAAAAACCCTTCCTTCTTTTTAGCTGATTATCTCAGGTATGTGTCACAGTACCAGAAAGCTGATTAATAATTCAGGAACCAAAAATCTAAACACTACTTCTGAGCTGATGATACCAGAAATTTGACCTCAGAGTCAACTTGGCTGAGAAATCAGCTGACTGCTAAGGGCTTGTAATGCTCTGCCTGTTCTTGAGCAGTGCCCCCACCTTCAGCACCCTTTATGCCAATCCATAGGTTTGCTGACCTTGGATGTCTGACCTGGCTCTGGAGTTTAACTCTGAACATGGCAGACAGACACAACAGATGTTATGTCAATTCTCCTTTCCAACGTCCTGTCCCTTTATCTGCTAAGATCGTCCACCCAGCCATATGGCGGAGAACATAGACACGAAAATATAGGCCATAGAGTCAAACAAGTTTTGCTTTAAATCTGTCAAGCTAGTTTTCATTACTTGCCTCACCTGGGTCAAGCTACAAGTTTGATTCTCTCGTCGATAATAATCAGATCTCCCTGAGGCATTGTCTACTAGTTGAGCCAAATATACGTGCTCTTCTTCTTTAATGACAAAGTCCTCCACTTTCCACTTGAAATTTGGCTCCCAGGTACAGACAGCAGATCTCATCCTTTCTTACAACCAGCTGCCTATGACTAGTTTCTAGCCAAAGTGACATGAATAAAAATGGAATATCGAACTACCTGCATGTGGCCTTCTTCTTTATTCCAAGGACTTAGAACATGGAAGTACTATCAAGTCATCATAAACCATGCAGATGAGAACAGTGGCTGAGGGATCATGAGGCGGAAACCAAATAGATATGGGAGTATATCTAACCACTGTCAGCATGGCCTTTATTACATTAACTGAATTTGCAGCCCAATATATCACTCCAAAGTATGGAATTAAAGGAGATCCTACATATACATTGTTTAATATTTGATTAATATATAATAATCACCCAAGAATGGAAG